GCCCCCCGCCTTTAAGCGGCGGGCTCCAGCAGGAAAAGCTGGAGGCCGGAAAAGAGTGAGACGGGTAGCGCGCAAAAGTAAAAGTGGAACGAGAGACAGAACGAGAGCAAGACAGACAGACATTACGAGAGCGAGACAGTTTGTCCCCGTACCACTGGTTGAAAACCACTGCTGTAGATCACTGCCGGTACGTGCGCTGGGAGCGCACCGTTTAAGTTTGAAAGTTGAAAAGTTTGTGTGTCTGAAACGCTATGTGATACAGTACAGTTTACACAGCACATGTTCTGTAGCTACTATTGCACTAAATGGTAACACTTGAATACGTTATGCAAATATGCAACTTGTTTGTTGAAATGTTAATAAATGGGAGCTTCCTCAAACAGCCATCTCTTTCCCGACAATCCCCTCTGTGCACGAACCCTTACATATGGTAATTAAACATTAAAACACCTGCGGCTTATAGTCCAGTGCGGCTTATAGTCCAGTGCGGCTTATATATGTACACATCATTCAATTTAGCTGCTGCGGCTTATATTCAGGTGCGCTTGTCCAGATTTGCACTTTAGTAAAAAATGTAACAGACATATTTATATTAATACAAGAAGTAAGTTAAACCTATAGTCCGAAAATTACGGTATATAGTAACTGTTCAAACAAAAAGTATTCTAACATATTAAATCAAGATGGTACAGTTTGTAGTTCTGGGTTAAATGCATCCAAATGGGATAAATTCAGGAGATTTTGGCTTATTTTTGAAATTGAAAATAAAGGGTTTAATAAACTGAGACTTCTTGGAGCTCATGATTTGAACCTTGTTTCTGTATCACCTGAACTTTAGAGTCTCGTACCTGAGCGTGACGATGATGGCGGAGGGCTGGGCGCAGGCGGTGATGAGCGTGACGATGAAGAGGAAGATGAGGAAGGGGATGAGCGTGCTGCAGGTGCGGTCGCACTTCCCCGACACGGCGTACCCGTTCTCGTTCAGGTACGTCTTCACGATGACGAGCTGCAGCTGGTTGGAGCCCGACGCGCTGGACGAGGGCGTGATCACCTGCCGACTCTGAACGCACGCGCAGTCCGAGTAGTTTCTGATCTGAGAGGGAAACATGGAGGAGGTTTAGAGACTTTAAGGTGAAACACGGCAAGCCAGAGACTTTGTAAACTATCTCTAATCCTTCAAAGATCATGGGGGGGAATCGGGTTGCTTGAAAGTAGCTCCATTTTAGAAGTTTAGAAGTCAAACAAAAAGAAGAAGTTGAGGAAATAATGTGCAATAAAAACATTGAATAAAATAGAAATATTTTTAAAAAGGTTTAGTCCAGATTTGGAATAACACTTTAGTAAAAAATGTAACAAAAATATTTATATTAATACAAGAAGTAAGTTAAACCTTAAAATGCAAACATTAAGCAAGAACATGTTTATTTATTTTTTAATTACAAGGAACACAGATTGATTTAATTCATATAATACATGAATTCAAAATAAACTCTCTCTCTCACCCCGGTGCTGTCGTTGGCAACGCTGCTGCAGCCGGCCAGGCAGGGGTTAAAGTACGTGATGCCGTCGGAGCCGCACACCGGAGCGTACTCATGGATCTTACAGCCGCAGTTCACGTTACAACCTCCGGTCAGGTTCCTCTGGGTCATGGTGAGCGTCGGCCTGCAGAGGGGCAACACACAGAAGATCATCAGGGCTCACACTCCCTTTATTTAGATGCCTTGATAGGAGATAGGAGGAGGAAACAAGGAAGGAAAGGCGTTGGGGAGAAATCTAAGGAAGTGTATGACGGACTGGAAAGAGCGAGGAAGTAGGGATGCAAGAGAGGAAATGTCTTCTCTTCCAAGCTGTCCTTGGATATTTTCCATCACTGCCATGTCACCTCTGGTTGTCTGTCTGCTATCCTGCAGAGATCTGAGAGCTAGCTTCCTCCCCGACTTCGGCCACAAATGGGCGATAAAAACGAGCCGTGTGTTCGGACACAACGGGAAATTATTCAGCGGGAGAAAAGGCAAACTGAAGTCTACAAACGTCTGTCTCTGATACGAGAGAAAGCATTTGAAAGACTCTGTTTTACTCTGAGGATTAACGAGAGACCTGAGAGACGTGACATTAAAATGTCTACTTTTAGATAAACTACCTGTGTGTTTAAATGATCAAACGTCACACATTGGTGGATTTGTAAGAATTAAAGTTTGATCGTTTCATGACAGCACAGTGCAGTCTGATGTCTGTCACAGGAAAAAAAGACTATTTTCTATACTAATAGTTCCTCCATCCATCCATCCATCTTCTCCCGCTTATCCGTGGTCGGGTCGCGGAGGTAGCAGTTCCAGCAGAGAGCCCCAAACTTTCTTTTCCCTGGCCACATCAACCAGCTCTGACTGGGGGATCCCAAGGCGCTCCCAGGCCAGCGAAGAGATATAATCCCTCCATCTGGTTCTAGGTCTACCCCTTGGTCTCTTCCCAGCTGAACGTGCCTGGAACACCTCCCTAGGGAGGCGCCCAGGTGGCAT